TTATTAAATTGTTTACTTATGAAATGATAACATTTCGTTTTGTTGCGATTTCTGCTGCCAGCTCGTTTCCAAGAATATGCCTACATAAAAACTTCACTTTAAACCTTAAAATAAATAACATTTCAGCAATCGTTTAACCTTTACTTGTCATATAATATTTACTTTGATTGCCATAGGCCACAAAGTCGTTTTTTTCCCAACATGCTGTGACTAACTATAGAACTATAAAATACACCAAAAACGCAACATAATTACGAAATGAAACAATTTTATTCGTGCGCTGTAATCCAAATCTTCCGAATCCATACGACTGCGAGGAACAGACCCAAATTCAAGCCTTTATTCGGCGATCTTCTTCTCCATCCCTAGCAGCGAGTCCAGTGACCGTGAGCAGCAAAGCCCGCACTGATTGACGTGCTCTTTACAAATTCAAATGTTGCCGCTTCAAACTACAGGTTTTACGGCAGGATAATCGAACGCTCATTGGCTCTCGCCTGCATTCGTCATAGATTGCGACATGCCGTGTTTCTGGTGAGGTGTGTTTGAATGATGCGCGCGCCTTCACAAGTTCACGGAGTGGATTGGGAAAATTATCTGGATAATATTTTCAGCGATTAACAAATTCTGCTCTGGATCAAACAAACCTACTGTATTCTGCCAGAGAGGACTGCGGGTGATGGGAAGTTTGGATCATTTTACCGACTCAAACTTTTGAGTCTTGTTCAGCAAAATGAACGAATCTTTTTTCGAGTCAATTCGTTCATTTTAGCAAAATACATTTAAAATGTTACGTGTTACTTCCCTAATACGTCTACTACTTACGCAAACGTTGATCACACTACAAACAACACAAAACTGCTATAAGAAACAGAAAAGATGAATTCATTGTCTACCTGGGTCTTCAGTCTATGATTAGCTCAGACTATTCTGGCTCAGACTGCATTGATTAAAGCTTATGGGGCTGTCACGTGATGAACGAACGACTCGGAAAAACCCGAAGACTCGAAACAGGTGAACTACTTGACTAATTCCAGTACAGAACCTATAGGATGTTGCGCATGCGCGACTGAACGAATCACTCCCCGAGACGACTTGTTCTTCCCGAGTCACATTAAAGTGAACGAATCGTTCAAGAACGACCCAACACTACTGCGGGTGCAACGCATCATTTGGTGCTACTTTTGACATTTTTGCAATAAATAAATTATTGTAATTGCATTTATCTGTCTGTCATGTTTTTTATACTGTACAGAAATGTTTAGGTTTATAAATAGGAGTGGGATTAGAGACTATAAAAATATTTTAATGCTATATTGTTACTAAAATGGTTATTTTCCTGCATATTTCGGTCATTTGCGTTTTATATCCTTTTATATTCGCTATAAAATGGGTAGGTTAAGGTTTGGGGGTAGGTTAAGTGATCTAAAAATCTAAATGGCATATTAATAAAATTATTAAAATGCATATTCGCTGTAAAATGGGTAGGTTTAGGTTTGGAGGTAGGTTAAGGGGTCTAAAAATCTAAATTGCTTTTTGATAAATTGATAAAAATGCATTTATACGAATATCTTAATGATATAAAAGATACGTAAATATTTGTACTTCTTTTAGCTAAACATACGTAGTGATTTGTAAGTTTTAAACGTTGAAATACGTCTAAATTGTACATATTAGCATTAATAAAAATGTATGTTTTGTGCTTGTAAATGTTACGTATTAATACCTACGTATAAACATGAGACCAGGCTGCATCAGTAGAAAGCAAGGCGAGTGAACTCGCAGTCTACAGTCTCAGGACAGTAAAACAAAGAGTCATTTGCTACATTACCCTTCAGCTGGGATGTTGTGCAAGTGATGCTATTCTAGTGCAATACATCCAGCTGATGAAATATGCAACTTCACAAAAGTGTCTAAACAAGCAATAACTGAGAAGCACTTTCCGTAATTACTCACGAGTCTTGTGCATTCAAGTCTAATGAAGCCTTAACTGTCCTTCTGACTAAATGTGAAAATTATAGCGTGCTTTATTTTCGCTGTGCTTATGAAAAAATGATCCATGTACCTAAATCTCAAAGTGCACTGCATAACTTTAAAGCATTATGTAATAAAAAACTACATTTAAGAGAAAAGTTCATTTTTCAGGGTTAAAGTAACTCACTAACAACAATAACATTCTCAGAAATGTACTGACATGAGCTGTATATTGGTTTCTGATTTCATTTGAGACAATCTCACACAAACAGCGAGTATACAAACTGAATCAAAACTGCACTTATGAGAAAGCAGTGTATGAATGTATGAATTGATTTAGACACAAGACACATCACACACAGACCACATACTAAATCCATCATCCATTTCCCATATGAATAACATATTGCTGATCGTATGAATGAATAACACCCACCTTAATGGCTTCAACTGAGTCGTACTTGTCCAGTTTGTTGATGTGGTTGGTGATGCTGGTGTTGAGTGGGGCGGCAGAGATGGGGTGGATGACTGTGGCATCATGGGATTGCTGCTGGTATCTCTGACAGTAAGTGTACACCAGTAGGGTCACCAGACAGCCGAGTATGGAGCTGCTCAGACCCACGGCGATCATGTGAAACACATTGAAGTCTGGCAAGAGAGGCATAACGGCTAATGGCTAAATGATCTGACACAAGCATGAAGGCTGGGGATTTGAGCATTGATCCAGAGGATATCAATCATCCATTACCTGAACCAATTAAACACTACAGTAAATTACAGTCAGCATTGCTGTTGCCCTGTGAGTCTGCATGAATGGCCAATAATTGCTATAAGTGGAAGGACTTTACAGTGACAAGCCATTCCAAATGCACATTTGTTTAATGGGTCCCAAAAAAGCTTTGAGGCACATTGTGTTTGTAATCAGTGTATTGAACATCAGTTTTGATGCACTTTGGATAAATAGCAACTAGAATTATGTTGTTCTCTGGAATACTGGGTTCTTATTGG